CTTCGTGATACCATGAATGCTAAAAGGTACCTTATAATGTTGCTAGATTAAATCTGTCCAGTGATCAGTGCTTATTGGAGTGTTGAAGATGTTTTTTGCATGCAAGATGACGCCACTACACATTTTGCTGATGTCGTTCGTGAATGGCTGAATGTTAACGTTACCAGTAGATGGATAGGTCGTCGTGGTCCATATTAATAACCAGCCAAAATTCCAGACAGCATCGTGAAAGCTTTTCTTTTGGGCTGGTTAAATGAGCTAGTCTGCTGTACAAATCCAAATACTTTTGAGGAATTTAAAGGGCGAATAGAAGCAGTTATGTCTTCCATTCCATATAGGTTCCATGTGAAATCAGGTGACGCAATTCCTGACCGGCTTGAGAAGCTAGTGGCGAAACTGTGTGTCTTTATCAAATTTTTAAATAGAAACTTATGCTAAACATTTTCCTCTCGTAACCTTTATTATTTAAAAACAAAATAACAGTTATTAAATACAGTGTAAGTATTTTAAAATACGTAGTTACTTGTCAAATCTTTTCTCTACCCCTACTTAATTCACTGGAATATGTTTAGTGCACATCTAAAGCTTGAGAGACATACTAGACATATTACAAGCCTTGTCAACCAGCTTAAACAGGTCGTATTAGCCCCGAAGTACGTTGAATGGAGAGTTTGAACACCTATGGGCATGTTAGGAGGGCAATGGGGATGAACGAATTCATATCCTCATCACTATGCGTTCTGCTGATAAACTTGAGAGGTCTAGTTTCACCGTCTCACACGATGACCAGAATCACATATCATTTTAAGTGTCTTGGCAAGATATTCATGCATTTATCTTTTTGCCTTCTCTTTGCTCTCTTTTCATCTTATTTGACGGTCGTTACCAAGTTCTCTAGTCTATTCATTTTAATAACATGTCCAAACAACACTGAGTGTCGGCGTCTGCTTTCTCTATATGGTTTACGGTTTTCGCCTGTCTCAAGGAGGACTGCTTGGTTTATGTTACTACCACTCCCCAATATTCACTGCCTTCTGTTCACAGACTATATCTCGTCTGTGTGTGAAGGTTTTTCAAAGGGTCACAAATTGGGCACGCCGGCCCGTCTTACATTCGGCCCTTCCAAACACTCGTCTTTCACACTGCATCTGTATTTTATCAATAGGCATGATATATTCATATGATAATATGCATATTATGAATATCAAAACAGTGGTGGGGAAAAAGCACAAAAGCATGGGTGGTAAAGTGCACGCACACATACACACACACACACATACACACACACACACACCCACCCACTCACTTAAACACACCCACATACCTTCACACACACATTAACACAAACTATTCACCCACATACATACCTACATACCCACACAGACACGCACATTCCACACACATACAAACAGACATACGCGCACATACCCAATCACACACGCACATACACAGACACAGACATGCCACACACACACACACACATAAACCGGCATACAGACACACACACAGACACATATGCACAAACACACGCAGACACAAACACACAGATACACTCGGAGACACACAAACACACACATACAAACGCAGACACATACACAAACACGTGCTGACGCTCACGCTTACACATACACACAACCAGAGACACAAACACGCAGAAGCATACGCAGGCATTCATACATACAGGCACACGCAGAGATACACGCAGACACACACCCACAGACACACAAACGCAAACACATACGCAGACAAACATATACACAGGCACACACACAAACAGACACACCCATATAGACACATCGGAGACACAACACACAGAGAAACACACAAACACACACAGACACATACATAGATATATACAAACAGAGACGCGCATATACACAGGCATTCACGCAGACACACACAAGCACATACAAAGACACAAACACACACATACAAGCACACACGCAAGCAAACCCACAGCTACATTTACGTAGAACACACATACAAGCAAACACACACACACAGACACATGTAGACACAGAGACACACACAGACACATACACACAGTCCTACACGAGCAAACACACACATACACACACAAAAACACACACAGACATAGATACACACTAACAGACACACAATACAAAAATCCTTACACTAAGAGAAGCACGTATACACAGGCATTCACGCAGACACACACAAGCACATACAAAGACACAAACACACACATACAAACACACACGCAAGCAAACCCACAGCTACATTAACGTAGAACACACATGCAAGCAAACACACACACACAGACACATGTAGACACAGCGACACACACAGACACATACACACAGTCCTACACGAGCAAACACACACATACACACACAAAAACACACACAGACACAGATACACACTAACAGACACACAATACAAAAATCCTTACACTAAGAGAAGCACGTATACACAGGCATTCACGCAGACACACACAAGCACATACAAAGACACAAACACACACATACAAACACACACGCAAGCAAACCCACAGCTACATTTACGTAGAACACACATGCAAGCAAACACACGCACAGACACATGTAGACACAGAGACACACACAGACACATACACACAGTCCTACACGAGCAAACACACACATACACACAAAAAACACACACACAGACATAGATACACACTAACAGACACACAATACAAATATCCTTACACATAGAGAAGCACGTATACACAGGCATTCACGCCAAGACACATAGATACACACAGGCACATACCAACACGTACCCACACACACAAAAACAACAAAGACATACACACAGCCACATACACATAGAACTCACAGATACACAAACACATTTACGGGCACGTGCAGACACACACACAAATACATATGTAGACACATACACACAGTCATACACGCACACACAAACGCCCAAACACACACATACACACAAACACACATACATAGATACACACGCACAGACACCCAAAACTAACACACCTAGACACAAAGTTACACACAAACACAAACTGACAAGCAGTCATGCACACGTAGACACACTGGCATACATACACACAAACAGAGTCAATCGCTCACATATACACACAGACACATACACACACAGACATACAGAAGACACGAATGCAGACAGTCACACACACATAGACACATACACAAACATAACAAATCGCACGCACACACAAACACACTTATACAAACACAGACACGTAGACACAGACACGCCTACACAGAGACACAATCACACACAATCCCATAGTCACACAGTCAAGTCACACGCACATGTAGACATACTGGCGCCTCTTGCTGTTCGTAGGATTAGATTTAATCAACTGGAAAAGGTAGTTTGCAGTATTTTGAGACACAATTTTATGAATAAATTTAGCTTTGTTAAAAATTAAACGTGTTCTCAGTGGCAGAAGTCTTAAATGGCTATAGAGATTATTTTTATCGGTATATTTTCTATCTGAAACCATTCGTAAAGCACGATTTTGAAGGGAACTTAGTCTTTTAGCATTAGATTTAGCACACCCATCCCACACCGTGGAGCAATAGTCGACATGTGCTTGAATATAGGAAGCGTTAAAAAAATTTCGCGTATCTTCATCCAGGAAGTGCTGAATTTTGGCAAGCTTATGAACTTTTTTGTGCAATTTTTTTTTTTTTTTTTTTGTTATGATACAAACATGAGAATTCCAAGTTAAATGATTGTCAATTGTAAGGCCTAATGTTTTATGCTCAGTTACATTAACAACAACTAACATTCTAGATACCTAGAAGTATTATATCAATTGTTTTCTGGGTCCTTATTTTGGGAGGAAACAGGAAAGAGTTTCTGTCCTCTTAAAAGCATGTCGTAAACTTCAACACATGAAGGATTATTTTCTTTGAAGTCGGAATGCATCTGTCTGAGAGCTGTGTAACCAACAGACAGGCCTTATACAAATAAGCCACACGAATGCAGTATGCAACATACTGGCTTTAACCCAATAACGTGAAGTCTAACGAAGCACGTCTTTATCGAGGAACAATTGGCAAACCTTGGCACCAAGATCGACTCAGCTTTAAATGTTTGCTAGTTAAAGTCCAGGGAAGTAAAGGCGGTCGCCCGAGTTGACCACATCAACCAATCTAATTACTATATTACTGCCCATAGTCGGTCTAAGGCAACTAACTTTGGCCTTATATGATGCCATTTGCGTGTAAGGGGACCTTTGCTTTTTAATTGTTACTGCTGGGTCGTGGAAATTTCAAAACTGTTCTGTTTATATTTATCGCAGAATTAAAACAAACAGGTGTTTTATTCCGTTTTTTTTAAACCTGTGTACTATAAAGTGTCGATATTTCCTGATGTTCAGTGAAAGACACTTGTTTCATAGAATACCTTTTCGTCGTCATAAATTTAACGTTGGTTTACTAAATAAATATCCATTATCTGAATTGAAGCAAAAAGTTATATGTAACATAGTAATAACCCAGAAGAGTTGAACTGATATAGTTGATCAACTCACTGCTTTTACTTTTGTTTAGTCTTGTTTTCTTTTCAACTTCTGGTGCTGATTTTCCAAATGATCCCATAACATTCTTTCATCCACTCCCACCCCCCCCCCCCCCCCCCGATTTATGGACATAATTATTGAAGTACTGGCGTGTGTGAGTGAGTGTGGTGTCTGTTTGTGTGTGTATGCGTGTTGCGTGTACGTATATACTTACTGGAGTTAATACCACTGTAATTTTGTTCCATCAGACAGCTATGATATTCGTGTTTCGATCCCCACTTTAATTACAGAAATGTATTTAACCGCGCTTATCTATCTCATGCTGTGCAGGTTTCTCCTTTTTCCTAGAACACAGCGTGAAAGAATACCACGAGGAGAAATAAATCTAGAAAGTCAAGAGATGCGATCTGTTGAGAAGGCATGCGCCATCTGGTGAGGCACAGGATAATGATAAAACGATATATAACTGTTTTTTGTCATGGCAGTATAACATGAAATAGTATTAATCTTCAATAAACTCAGAAGGTATAATCTCTGGCAGAGGAGAACACGGCCGACACATACATGTTCTGGGAAGCTTGACCCTAATGATAGTGTTTATGTAGCCAATTTTACCAGCAGGTCTGGGGCACCTGACCGTAATAATGCTGTTAGTATAATCTATTGGCTTGCAACAGGTGCAGGATCGCTGAAGGATTGACGGCGCTTCAATATCGGTCATGGTATAGCTTCTACAGGCGCCCAAACAGACGGGAACTAAGGCTATCCTGGGTATGCAGTTTTTGTAGCGGACTGTCAGGATGGCAGGTCGGTTGGTGCACCTCTCTTCTGCTGTTACTTCATGAAGGGACAAACTAAGGAAAGCCAAGAGGATATAAAACAACATTACTGATTTGTTGAACCAATTCTTGTGATTGGAGTTGTATTTGGAAGCCGTGCTGGTTGTCAAAGTGCACACCTGGAGAAGAAGTAAATAAACACATTAATCTAACCTGAATTCTTAAGAAACTTGCATTAAAATGTGAACACACGAAAACGTAAATATTTTATTTCTGTTTTTATACTGTCAGAATGGTTTTGAATTTCTCACAGCTTTAATTGTTTGATTATAAGCTTCGTAATGCCGGGTTTTATCTCAACTGGCGACGATTTGTCTTGCGTTGGTTTCGACAGTGGTACAGAGAGCTGACCGCCTAGAAAACAATGACAAACTACTGAAAGTAAAATTTGCCTTAAAAAACCACAACAGCCGAAAATGTTGAGGTTGGTTCTGCAAAGTCCTGTAAAGGATAAGCAACTAACTTTATAACGAGATGACATGACTAGTTCCATTTCTCGCCGGCTTTTAAACTCAGGTTAAAAAAAAATTCTGGGGGGGGGGGGGTGATATTGTGTAATATTATGAGGCTGGGAGTTGAGCTATAAAGAGGCAGGCGTTTGTGAGCAGACATGATTACCAACGTCAAGTGGCATTTAGTATAAGAAGAATAAAAGTACTGATTTTAGGAGAAAACTCCTTAATATTTATCTGAATTTAATATAAAACACTTGAATATGTTAAGATTTTTCGTGTACAAACTCTTAGAAATTCGATTTCATTTCAAGTTAAAAACATAGATTTCCTAAATTTTGAGTATAAACCTTTGGACATTTTCTACAATTTAAAGAGAAGGAGTGGGATCTGATTCGACCATAGGGCATCATGTACACCAGACAAGACGTTCTGTTGATGACGTTTTCTACTAATTCTGTTATTACTGGTAATTGTTTGTAATGTTTTCTTGTTTGGCTTGCCTATTTTTAATTTTTAACCGACAGAGTACTAAACTTCGGCTTCCATGTTTACTAAAAAGGTGACAACTGTTTCGTAGATCACCTGAGAGCTAACCACACTCAAAATAAAAACAAATGCAGATAATATTATTTGTTAAATTTGATGTCAGGAGATTACAGTTTTAAGCTAGTGCGACATCTACTACTGCTTCGAAGTTAAACCATCTTTAATTTAATTTCCACATTTGGTTTTCATTTTTGAGTTGCCACATAAGAAGTCCTTGAGATGGTAACTCTACAGACATGAAGGGAAAAGCATCTTTTCTACTTCGTTACATGATTCAGCAGAGATCTTTGGCAGCCCATACGCACTTATCGGGGTACCTGGTACAGTCCTGTGAAGTAAAAGTGATCGGTGTGAGGCTTACCACATAGCCCACCCAGTACCGCTTGGTCTATAAAATACAGGTCTAGCCCTATTTTCCCAATACATCCCAAGGCAGGGAAAAGGGTCCTTTACTCAGTTATTTTACTATATGGACTTTTCCAGGCCCACCAATGGACCGTGGTCCGCTGGTTACAGAAGGCAGCTTTACAAGACGTTTCAAACCCAGCCCTGCGTTTGTTGCCTTTTATGGTTTATTGGGGCCAGTTTACCTCCAGTAGTTTGGCAGTGTTTTATGGACTGTCGACACTCATGTTGTGTGAATAAAGAAGACACCAACAATTGATTGCACAATTTATTGCCTGGCATATTTCGTTGTATCTCGCCAGGTGCATACTGTAGTAACAATTTATCAAAATTAAGCAAATAAATGAATCCTAGGAACTGAAACACAAAATCGACTACATTCAAAAACTGTTCGTATCACCAGGGTAACTGCAATGTAAAGAGAATGTGCTTGTGTCTGCATAATTATGGACTTAACCGGCTGATTGATTTGCCTCATGTTGTTGATAAAATCATCGCAAAGGGGTTTTCTACCAAATTGTCTTTATCGAATCCGATATATCGGTTTTACGAAACTGTGTTCTAAACCCCAACCCACTATGTGTGGGTTTTTTTTCCTTACGTCACTATAACCATGTTAACTACATTGTAATTTTGAAGACGGTCCTTTGCTGTAACGGAACTTGCAACATAACATACTGTAAACAAGCAATTTTAAAACCTAAGTCCTTTAAGCATGAAAATACTTAATTTGTAAATTTTTCGCAATAGTATTTGTTTGAAGACTGATTATACATTTTTTTTACATTTATTCTGTAATTCTTCACAGATAATTCAGTAATTTTGTAGACTGCATGTCAAGCAAGTTCAAAGCACCACTGCTAAGTTCACCCCAAACCATAGGAAAGTATGTTACTTTTGTAACCACATGGTGTCCTAATACACCTGTTTTCTACGACTGAGTTTAAGATTCGTTTCTGTTGAATTAGCATACTAAGAACAGCTCATGTGAATCACTCGATGTCTATCTTTCGGGCAGCAATCCCAGGGTGGGTTTTTTAAAACTGTGTAGAAAAACCAAATATTCGTCAACACCTCTGGTTTGGAGAGAATAAGGCACCTGGGTGTAATCAAAGGATCTGGTCGGCTCACTACACTCAGAGGAAAGGCAAGACGAACATATACCCAGATTGTGACCGATTCCATCAGTATTGTAACTCTGCGCTGGCTGCTGAAGGTAAGGACGGAGCACACATGGGAATGCCCCGAGAACTGTGATGTCAATTCCTGACTCAACTCAACTCATTTTTACTCTACATGACATTGGAGAACCAACCCCAGAATTTTTTTTTAGCTGTTGTGGTTTTTCTAGGCAAATTTACGACCAGTAGTTCGCCATTGCTTCTGGACGGTCGACTTCTCTATACCACTGTCGATACAAATGCAAGGCGCAAGGCCCGCAGTTGGTATCGAAACCGTCATCCCAGCATTACGAAGAATGACAAAGTACTCAAAGTCTACAGAAACTTAACAGCGAATGCCTGCTGGAGTTGGTTGGAGACGTCCTCAAAAGCAGAGGCAGCTAACTTTATCTTATCTTATTATAACATCTCAGTTAATAAATATATGTATCTGTAGTAGTAATGACAGTCGTCTAGTCGGGTGGGAATGCATCAGTGATGACCTTAATCTCTATTTATTATTCCTTAACCAAAGTTTCCGGCGCCAGTCAGCCTAAAATGACTAAGTCAATAACCCTTTCACGCCACTGACGCGTCGCTAAGACCCACATTTTTATAGACCAGCGTGTAATGTCTTAGTTTTCAGTACAGTACTCAGATAAATCTTGCCAAATTCTGGTTAGATTCAGCGTTACGTGACTGACTGACTGACTGACTGACTGACTGATCGACTGACGTTCAGCCCTGCTAAGACCGCACGATGAGCGACAAATACCCGGTAAGACAAAGTGCCACCATTCATTTGAGAATCATCCGCACGCATGTTCCAGAAATCCCATTCAACCCTTAGGTTGTATTTAGAGCCCCGACGACAGCCGAGAGTGGAAGCTTTTAAAGTTGAAAAAAAAAGCCTCTTTTTTGGCACAGAGATCCATAAGGGGTCACTACACGGCATTTTTCCAAATTTATGACAAAAATATCACTTTTTCAATGTGTTCGTTTTTGTAAAGTTCGGCATTCGTAGAATAGATGACACACAAAATTTATGTCATTTGTAAACAATTTAGCATTGAAAAGTTAATACTAACGACACCACCTCGTGCACTTTTTTAAGATAAAAAAAAAATTTACAAGTCAGTTTTCTCAAATCTCTATATTTCAGTTTGGTGTGTGTGTGAAATTCTAAAATCTAAGCTAATATAAAGAATAGAAACATGAAATTGTGTATGCATACTTTATAAACAATATTATAGGGACTGGTCTATCTAAAAGTAGATTTTAGAAAGTTTTTGTTTTCTAAAATTTGATTATTGTCTTATGATGCTAGATTTTTTTGACTTTTTCAATGAACCTACATTTTAAAATTCTACGAAAAATATTTAAAAACATGTTTAAAGTAAATAAACTAGACCTGTACCTCTAAGTAGAACAAAAAGTCATGGATCCATCATTTATTGTTGAATACCTATGTTTGTTTTTAAAGTTTTAGGATTCTAAGTACATATTGTTTTTTTTTTACAAGATAGCGGCTATTGCCATGACAACTATGATTTTTCAACACTTAAAGTGTACAAATGTAATAAAATGTATCCCTACAAATGACCATCATAAAATAACTGCTCTAAGTCTGTAAATAAAAAAAAAAAAATTTTTTTTGGTGTAGTTGATTATCGTTACATGTAGCCAATAATGCTTTTCTATATACTTACATTTTGAATGTGTAAATTAAACTAAATCATAATTTACTTTTTTTTCACCTAATATCCGCTACTCAGCCCCTAAAGTGTAATTAATTAATTGTGGTTTTACAAACGAGTAGCGTATTTGAGAACTTACAGACAATGTTAATACCGTACCTCATAACAGAAAGACTGGCCTGGAGATTCGACCTTCACACTTTCGTCAGAGTCCTGCATAGTAACAGCGTTGATGTGGCGATTTCTCCTGCTGTCCTGTGCAGGTGTACGGGTTTTCGCTACCTGTCTTGCATTCAACAATGTTTCCATTGCTTTCCTGTCTGAGGGCGTTGTTTTTAACTATGCGATCGTAATTTTGTCAATAAACGGCAGTAAACAATAGACTCTAAGGGAAAGTTTGAAACTTTTCTGTATGAAAATCGGTGTAGGACCTAGTCTAGTAATATAATGATATACTTTCTACAGAAATACAAACCAGACTAGTTTCTATTTTATAGTTTTAAGAGCTGGGATCACGTTTCAACGTGTAATGGACACTTTATCGGTACTACTTGATATAATTGCGTGATATTTATAGACTAGTGAATTGTCTTGAATAAGCCTTTACAGAAATGACTGCACCAATGGATTTGCGGCAATTTGCAATGTATTAACTCTCGCTTGTGCATCCATTTGTCTTGTAAGTACAACGTCAGTGCTGAAGGAAGGGCAGTGAAAAAAGGTAAGCAGTATCCTATGTTCAGAGCAACGGTATCGCAGTGGTTAGCCCTCTTACATTTCGGTCTAGTGGCAACATATTCGAATATACTTTTTATTTTTTTTTTAATTGACATGGATTTTTAGTCGGTCCATCCTAAAATGACTGCAGATTGCATTGGAAGTAAAGGCAGCCGGTGGGATGTTTACCACTTCATCGAAATGGGGACCTCCGTGGCAAAGTGGTCAAACCATTTGCCTCGCGCTCTGAACAAACATGTCATTCAGTTACCGAATGCAGTTTTTTCAGAGACTCTTGGATCTACGGGCATCGTGCTTTTGCAACACGGCTGCCCGTTCTGTGTGGAAAGACCGAGACCTCCAGGATAATCTGGTGCAATAAAGTCGATCCTTCCGACTTTAACTTTAACGTGAACTTCACCCAAAAAGTGATGACTGGTCTACTCATACATGGATTTCTACCACGACTCCAATACATGTAAAGATTTTTTAATTGGTTCTATACAGTTTACTGCGTCAGATCACCACAATTACGGAGTGCAGGCCAGATTGCCAGTGCGTTTGCATCCAGGTCATCGAAAATTCAAACCTTTTTAAACTGTGATATTTATCAAAGTAGCTACCTTTTCAGCTTGATCTGTTTAATTGGTGGTTTCCAACCTGGGAAAAAAAGGGGGGGGGGGGAGAGGCGGTGAGCACTCTCTAATTTTGAAAGCATTTTTATTTTTGTGAGCAGATTGTACATCTATCGTTATAAATCTAATTCATATAATAACATGCGCATTTAATTATACATTAGGAACACATTCTGACCTCACGTGTCTCCATACTTTATGTTTCCACTGTTGCCGAATCTATTGGCCCCTCTCTCAAATCATATTTTTTATGTAAAAGGGGGGGGGGTGCATAGGGCAAGGGGTCTTGCTATATACTTAAGGGGGAGGGGTGAGTGGGGATCTTGTCACATACTCAAGGGAGCGTGAGGGTCTTGTCATAGACTCATGGGGGCTTGGGGGTCTTATCATTTACTCAAACGGGGGAGGGGGGGGTCATGGTGGTCTTGCCATATACTCAAGTGGGGTGTAGGGGTCTTCCCGTATACTCAAGGGAGGTGTGGGGGTCATGTCATATACTTAGAGAGGCGTGTGGATCTTGTCATATACCTAAGGAGCTTTGGGGTCTTGACATATGATCAACGGGGTGTGGGAGCGTGGGGTACTTGTCATATATCTTGTCATATACTCAGATGGGAGTGAATTGAGGTCTTGTCATGTATTCAAAAAGGCTGCGGCCTGAAAAGGGTTAGAGACAACTGTTTTACATTTCTGTGCAATGTCTGCAAGTAGTAAAATCATAAGAGTCAGAGTGGCAAAGGCCCTTAGTGCATTATCTTGCCAAGGCTGTGGTCTTCCTTCAGTCCCCAACAGATGCAGAATTATATTTTAGTACGGCTGTGACGTTGGTCCTACCAGACAGTTCTTAGATATTGTTTGGGAAGGTCCTGGTTTGGTTTCCAGTGCCCCATTGTAGAAAAAAAAGGGGGGGGGGGGGGTGAAATACACACAGTGCACCCTAACAAGCATGGTGGAGAAGTCGACTAATCAGTAAGGTTCCTTCGAAGTCGGATTACTTCTGCCTGAGAGACAGAGAACCAACAGTCTGCATACAAATAAACCAGATTTGTCAAACCGATATGTACTAAAAACTAAAGTTCTGGAACAATAGAAGTTGACGAACAACCGTAACTTTCTGCCGGAGTTTAAATGTCTGTATTCTCTTAAGACTGCCACCTGTATCTGGGTTTCAATAAAAGCAGACTTTAAAAAATAACTGTTGTTGTCGTTGCAGGAAATCAAAGCCTCAAATAGAGTCTTGTCTTTATCAAGATTTGTAATTTCTTGTTCACTAGCCATTGACCTGTGCTCCTTAGCAGGTGGGTATGAGTATGTTAATTAGTAAAAAAAATTTTTGCCTCTATGAACTCGCATGTCAGTAGCAGGTCCTACGTGGTTTCCCATAACTTGCTCTGCACACTTTGCTCTTGAGACCAGATGTATTTTCGAAGTTTATGTATAGTGGGCAGGTCTACAGAATGTGCTTAGGTGTTTGTGGTCCTGTTTGACAGGCACACTGTGGGAACTGTACAATCGTTATTTTAGGCATGTGGTAGTTGAACCTGAAGTGTCCTGTTTGTAGACAGAAAATTGTTGTATATTGCTTTCTGTTGAGTCTGCTGGTGGGGTCTTTTGGGTGTTTACTGTTAGCTTGTTCTCTCCACAATTCCTTGTATTTTCCCTTGATAAGCGTTTTAATTTCTGGTAATGACAATGGATGGTGTTTTTTTTTTTTTTTTTCAAGTCAGTCTGCTAACTCATTTCTTGGTATGTCGCAGTGACCCGGGATCCACTGGAGAGCGATCAGATTGTTTTCTGCGAGTCTGTTTAGCTTGCGGGTCAGTTCTCTCTCCATGTTGTCTCATGGATCCCTCTGAGTCGCCTTGAGGACTGACATGCAGTCACAAAGAAAAATAATTTTGCTGTTTCTAATTTTTCTTTTCTCAAGCATTTTGGTCAAATCAAATATTGCTTGCTGCTCTGCTCTGAAGTTTCTTGAGAGTTTTCCGGAGACGCATGACGTTTCTACTTAGGTCTCATCTTGCAGCATTATAAATCTCACCTGAAGTCGTATTATTATTATTATTTATTTTGGTGCTAGGCCGATGGAAAGTCTGGGGCTGTCGTTTGATGTAGTGACGAATGAGGTTTTCTCCTAGTAACACTAAGAAAACGTCATAAGTTATGTGCCCCTTCGTACATTTTCTACTCTTCCCGCATCTCTATTTAACTATATTTATTTTAAGTGCGCATTTCTTTTAACCAAAAGATGCAATTAACTCTTGCCGGACTGAAATATTCCATTGGTTTGTCACAAGGGACTTGTGAATGTGAATCGTGAACTGTTTTTGGAGGTTACTGATGAAAATGATAAACAGGTTAGGAGATATAACACCTCTATGAAGGACATCTTCTTGTAACCTAACCAGCGTGCTCTTGATATATATATATATATATATATATATATATATATATATATATATATATATATATATAAAACCAACAAAGAAACAATGTATTGATTGGCACTCATAGGAAGAAGTAGAAAGACAGAGGGACACAAGAGACAACATAAAAATCGAAAGCTATAGTATCCTGTCTCCTCAAGATGGCGAGTGCGCCTCGCTATGGAGACGAGCGTACTAAGAACACAACTAGGCACTCCCAAAAAAGGTGTCTTCTTTGGCATGTCCATCGTATAGCTTGAGATCCACGACCATGGAATGCGGACAGAATTCATCTCAAACCATTTCATGGCACCATAGGTTACATAAATTTATATTAACGAAGCATAGGTAGAAAAACAAACACAGCAGCAATTTACAATTAAAGCAGACTCTAATGCTTTGTCTAGAATACAAGAACGTTTAAGAAAGATTGGATTGGTATGTTCCATTGTGTTACACGTCATTCACATAAACCAACAGAAGGGGGACCTTTGTTTATCTTTTTTCTTCTTCTTCTTCTTCACTTCCTCTTTTACCGCTGTGGGTGTCGAGGGAGATATAAGGTTCTGTTTCTGGCTCTTCTGGCTGCCTCGACCTTAGGCACATCGTGCTGTTGTAGAGCTTCTCTGATGTTATCCTTCCATCTTGTTCTGGTCTACCTCTTGCTCTACGTCCTTCTTCTCTTTCCATGTATGCTTTTTTATGGTATGGTGTCACAGTTCATTCTCTCTAAGTGGGCAAACCATTTCACATGCTGTCTTTGTATGTAATTTAGAATTGGTTCTGTGCCGACTTTTTCTCTTATGATCTCATTCCTGATCTGATCTCTTATGGTCACTCCTACAGCCCTTCTCAGAATCTCATTTCCATGGTTACTAATTTTCTTTTATGGTTTGTTGTGAGTGACCATTTCTGCCACTGGTAGCACAGAGTTGGAATAAATATCTTTTTTTCTTAATGAAGCAAAATGCTGGAAAATGACAAAAAAGGATGCGCACAAGCTATCAACTTACACCGCACATGCCTATGGACAATTATCAAAATGTTCTTGCCAGATACAATCTCAACCACTAAACTACTTCAAGTCACAAACCAAGAAACTCCTAGACAGTATTCTTCTTCTTCTTCTTCTTCTTGTTCACCGGCTGTGAATTCCGGCGGTAAGTCGCGGTTGTTCGTCCAACTAGACTTTTGGCTTTTACCTTGACCTGAGTTTTGAGTGTACATCCGTTTTACTGGCTTATTTGTTTGCAGTTCTTGTTCCCCGCCTCTCCGGCAGATGTACTCCGACTTCGAGGGAACCTAGACAGTATGATAACCAAGAGATGATGGAAATGTCTTGGTCACGTTATGGGAATGAATCCTGATGTGCTACCCAGAACAGCTCTCACTTGGACACTAGAGAGAAAGAGAAAGAAGGGCGCCCAAAATCAACATGGAGACTAATGATGGAAAGTGAACTGAATGCTGCATCTCTGACATGGAAAATTGCACTGAAGACTGAACAGGACGAAAAGGCATGAAAAGTCTT